AGGATTGGGCCTTTTTAGCAGTTAGCAGTAGGACTTTTAGTTACTTTTCTATTACTATGAAGAAACACCATGACCAGGGCAAAAGCAAACAAAGCACCCTTTAATTGGGGCTTGCTTACAGTTTCAGGGTGTGAGGGAAGTGTGACACCAGGGCAAGAAGCATAGCAGCAGACCAGTAGGTGCGACACTGGAGCAGTAGCTGAGAGCTTACATTTTACCTGCAAGATGGAGGCAAAGATAAAGAGACTGGGCCAGGCATAGGCTTTTGAAACCTCAGAGCCCACCCTCAGTGGTGCCCCTTCTTCCAAAAGGCCACACCTCCTAATCCTTCCAAAACTTGTTCTACCAGCTAGGGACCTAGTATTCAAATCCAAGCCTATGGAGACCACAGGCTGCTAACACGCTAACACTGGGCAGTGTAGAGAAAGCTTCATGCCAAGCACAGAATGGCCCTACTGAACTGGAAGGCTCCTGCTTGCCTTCTGTGAAATGGGAGCATAAACTTAGAGCAATTCTGAAGCAGTAGCAGCATTGAAGAAATCTAAGCAGAACAGGCAGTTTTTACCTCACACCTGCATGTCCTTCCCCCGTGCCTTTCTGAGAGACTAGATAAAAGGATAGTGGTTGACACTGAGACCAGACGCTGTATTAGCACACCTAGAGAAGCCCACCAAGAGCCTCCTGGCCTTCTCTCCACTTACAGACAGGAATTTGGCACAGAGAGGTCAAACTGTGACCCTGTGCGATAAGTTCAGGATTCAGGCACAAGTGGTCCTGCTCCAGAGCTTACTCAGTTGCCTGCCATTCTCTGCTGCCTTCACTAAGCATTTGTTTGTAGATGTTATTGTTTTCCATGAACAGAAATATCCAGACCTTATTTGTGTAAGATGTAGAATTTATATTATCCAAAATGCTTGACACCAGAAGAATTTCAGATTTGGGAGTTTGATTTCAGATTTGGGAGTATATAGGTTTTATTGGTTGGCTACCCCTAATCCAAAAGTATGAACTCCAAAATCAGGAACTTTTTTTGAGACAAGGTCTTGGTGTGTAGTTTGGAATAGCTTCAAAATTGTAACCCTTCTGCACCAGGCCCAACCAAAATCAGAACGATGTCAGAACTGAAAAGGGTTTTGGAATAAAAAGAGCTTGGATTTCAGAGTATTTTAGGTTTTTGATTTTCATTAAAGAGGCACTCAGTTTATATCTACTTGCTGATTCAACAAGCATTTGTCAGACATTTATGATCTGGCTGTGCTGTGCTGCCCAGAGTATAGAAAGTAGTGACACTGCCTGTCCTGCAGCCAGTAGGGAGACAGACACTAAAGCAGGTGGTTCCTGTGGAATGTCTTTGGGAGAGGGAGGAGATGCTAGAGAAGCCCTCAGGAGCAATACCTCCCTCAACTCGGGCAGGACCACCTGACAGAGTGACCCTTTGTTAGAGACCTAGAAAGGAATCAACCAGCAAAGTGACAGTTAAAGGATGGGTGGGGTTGCAGCTGAAATTGCATTATCAGAAGTTCCAGATAAGAAGGAGCATTAGGAAGGCAATAGTGAGAGGTGAGCCCCAGGTGAGCAGGACAGTTCAGAAACAGTGCTGTGATACTGGTCCTCTGCTGACATTTTCCTGAAGTAGCCTCCTCTGTGTTCTTTCAAGTCACCTGCTTTTTGTGGTAAGCACACCGTATGCATAGCCTTGTCATCACACTTGTGAAAAACATTATTGGTTTGATTCGCAGATTAGACAGTTAATTGGTAACATCCGGAATTGCCCTATTCATTTATTATTGCATCACCAGAAGCTACCACCATGCACGGTGCTCATTACACTTGTTTGTTGAATGAATGATGGGTTTTCTTTGTAAAATGGATTACACCCTTCTTGCTTTCTTGAGCCAACTATCACTTTTCTTCAGGTTTATCATTATATCCAGCAGCTAATGTCCTGTGTGGCAGTTCAGAGATGCCCTTAGGGCCTTTTGAGGTGCTGTGCTTGGAATCCTTTTTCAGCTTTTCATTGTCCTGTTCTTTTCCCTCCCTGCCTGGTCAGCATCTGATTGTGATCAATCTGCTTGACTCTGAAGTGTCCTCCCCAGCCTTATTTCCTTCTCCTAATCTGCAATGGGCTAGACACAAGATCCCCAGTAAGAGTGAGTAACCATTGTGATTTGTGACTAAGGATTGGTCACTCTTACTGAGCTCCTAAATGGCATAGATAGCATTACACACAGCCAGAGGCTGGCTATGCTAATATAGGCAACCCCTCAAATGTGCCCAGAGGCCAGGCTAACCTAGATACCACCCTCAAATGTGCCCAGAGACCATGCTAGCCTAGATAATCCCTCAGGTGTGCTCATAGGCCAGGCTAACCTAGAAAATCCCTTAGATGTGCCCGTAGGCCAGGCTAATCTAGACACCCCCCTCATGTGCCCAGAGGCTAGGCTAATCCAGATAATGCCTGCCCCCCTCAGGTGCCAGAGCCTGATCTAACCTTGGCTGCCCAGAAACTTTCTTACTTACAGTTCTTGATGCCCCAGAGAAGGTCACGTAATACTACAGGGATCAGCAGTGTGGTCTGATCTCCAGCTCCAAGCTCCACCATCTTCATTTTGGCCAAAGGTTTGAAGTACTTCCACCCAAACTAGCCAGTTAGGGTGCTGGCTACACATGTCCATGCTATCATTTGGTGAGGCCAGGTTCCATCGAATGTCTTACAGTGTTGCCAGAACAAAAAAAGGAGAGAATGCGAGGGACTAAGGCTGGTGCAACATCTGGCCTTGCTTCTCTGTCTGTGCTAGATTCTTTCCTTGGCACAAGGAGGGAAGAAGGAACACTCACCCTGGTTCTGTTCTCACCAATGCTGAGTAACTACCAGACTCAAGCAGTCCTTCCACCTCAGCCTCTGAGCTCCTCACACACCATTAACTAGCCAGTTGAGCTGAACGTCCACACTCTTGTCTTAAAAATGGGGTGGATTGTGACTACTAGACAGCCTGCTAGCTTTTAGAACTCTATTTAGATGGTGTCTTCAGTATTACAAGAGGCGCACACATTCTCACTTCACTCTGAAAACACTGGGAAAGAGTGGCTTAGGAATGATTGTCTGGTCTGCCATCTAGGCAAGAGGAATCTGTCCTTTACAGGGTTAGTGTCAGGGGATCAGAGAAAACTGACAACAGGGAGGCACTCCTAGATCCTAGACTCTCCCTCAACAAACTGAGCTCAGGAGAGAGCACTAGAGAAACTTGGGTTCCAGGGAAGTTTCCACATGAGGGAAACAGAAACCTCATCACCCAAGCAGGCTAGAAACTGCTCTGTTGGGACCTTGCTTCCCAGGGGATGCCCCAGAGTAGTGGAACCTTCTAGTTTGTTAGCTGGTCAAAAAGTGTCTGGATAGCAGCATAAGCTGGAACCAGTGTGATATGTGTATATCCATCAACCTGGAGGTTTGAAAATGGGAACAGTCTCAGGTTTTATTTTAATAAAATGGGAGAGCGAAAAGGCAGGGAACATGAATAGTAGGACTAAAGTAAGCCTGAGGGTTTGCAGGTTCTGTTCACATGAAAGGTCTGTCCTTAGCTTTCAGAAAAAAAAATGTTTATACATAGTTATTAAGGGTAAAAAATGAGATCGCAGAAGCTGGGATAGGGCTTAGTGGTAGCACTGTGTCATGTGCAAGGCTATGTTCAACACTCAGCGCCACCAAAACAAAAAGGCAAATTGCAGATACAACAAGTTCTGACTTTGTAGGGAATGCACACCAAGGCACAATATGCAATCCCTGAAGAGCTAGACCAAAATGCTAAGTGCTCCTTCTCAGGTTGTTGAGATGCTAGTTCCTTTTTCTTTTTTGTACTCTTCTTAGTTTCAATTTTTACTTGCTTTTGTAAATCAAATTTTAATCTTTAAGTTACTGAATTGTAAGCCGGTCGGTGGTGGCACACGACTTTAATCCCAGCACTCGGGAGGCAGAGGCAGGCGGATCTCTGTGAGTTCGAGGCCGGGCTGGACTGACAGCCTCCATAACAATACAGAGAAACCCTGTCTCGTAAAAAAAAATAAAATAAAATAAAAATAAAGTTACTGAATTGTAAGCAGTGGAGATGTGTGAGTTTCTGCACAGAACAACCTCTTGTCCCACCCCCATCCCTGTCCCTGTCATCCCCCATCCCTGTCCCTGTCACCCCATCCCCTCCCTGTCCCTGTCATCTCATCCCCCCTTCTTTATTAGCCGGACTCCTTATCCTTTGAGTTGCCAAATATTCTAGGAACCTTCTCTTTGTGTTCAAGCTGAGTTCAACTGTCTCCTGACTTTCTGGGTCATCCCATTGTACCCCAACATAGGCTTTATCTGCAACAACACTCTACACATCTGTTTATCATCTGCCTCTTCAGTCAGCTTAGGTCAGAGACCATAATGATTCATTTCATGTACCCAAAATGAATCCTAGATGTCAGTCAACATTCATGAAAGAAACAAACCAGACTGTTTTACCTTCTTTTGCGCAGCCCAGATGGCCAGGCACACAGTGTATGTACTACTTAATGTTTAGAAGTACGTAGGTGAATTAAAATATTGAAGAGCCAGGCACTCAAGCAGCTGAAACAAAAGGACCAGTCTTAAGGTACATGAAAAAAAAAGCAAAAAGCAGATACAGCTGGGCATAGTGGCTCACACCTGAATCCCAGCTCATGGAAGAGGCAGGAGTATCACTGCAAGTTAAAGACCAGCCTGAGCTACATAGTAACACTGTCTTAAAAGTCCAAAGAGAGCTGGGCATGGTGGCACTCTTGGGAAACAGAAGCAGTGGGAGCTCTGAGTTCAAGGCCAGCCAGGTCTACACAGTGAGAGACCCTGTCTCAGGGAAAAGGAAAAAAAAAGGTCAAAGAGAGCCAAAAGTGATACATGCTTTAGTCCCAGCACTAAGATAAAAGTAAGCATGCACAGACTAATTTGTTGCTAATGGAGGGTTTGTTTTGTTTTTGTTTTGATCCCTCAGTCCTAGTCACTCGAGAGGATGACTTCAACAACCGGCTAAACAACCGTGCTAGTTTCAAGGGTTGCACAGCCCTGCACTATGCTGTCCTGGCCGACGACTACCGAATCGTCAAGGAGCTTCTGGATGGAGGTGAGAGCTGTGGGTTGTGGCTGGTGGGAGAGAGTACTCCACACTTTTAGCATCCTGCTACTCTCCTTGAGCCAAGGGAGTGGACATGAGTAACTGTCAATGTGTGATTTTTCCCTCTGGGGGTGGGGGTGTGTGGGGGTGTGTGTGTGTGTGTGTGTTGGGGGAGGGGTGTCCTCCACCCTGTCTGTGATAAGCTGTGAGGTTTTTTTTAAACATTCTTTTAATGATGTGGAGGAGTAGGTATATGCGCTTGAGTGCAGGTGTCCATGGAGGTGAGAGGCATTGGGTCTTCCTGGAGCTCAAATTACAGAAGCAACATGGGTACTGAGAACTGAACTTGGGTCCTCTGGAAGAGCAGGAAGTGCCCCTAATTGCTGAGCTGTTTCTTCAGCCCCAATGTCAGAGTTTTCTTTATTGATGGCTTTTCCCTAAAGCCCCCTCTCTTTCTCCTGTGACCTCCAGAGGAGGACCAGGGGAGCAAGGGACATTGTGTCAAGCCCTACTAACCCATGTCACAGAGTTGTTCTCCTGGATCTCGGCCCCACTGCAATCTCACTTAGGCCTCTTTATTACTTTGAGCCATGGTGTCCTGTTCACATTTATACTTGTACTCAAGTGGCTGGGGACAGGGGGATTTTAAGTTTGAGGGCAACCTGGGCTTCATAGTGAATTCCAGGCCAACCTATGCTCTAGAAGTGAGATCCTAGCTCCAAAACTAGCAATAATAACAAAGTGGAAGGCTTCTCATTTGAGAGTGCAGACCATATTGATGTATTAAGTATCCCTAGGACCAGCATAGTTGTTGGCACATAGTGAGTTTTCTGAAACTATTTGCTGAACACTGAATGTCCTCCCTTTCAAAAGTATCGGTTTCATTACAGAGACAGAGTGTGCCAGACTCCGGCTGAGCTGGTCCTATCCAAGTCTGGTAGAGTTCACCGCCAGATATCTTCAGGTGGCCAGTTCCTTCTTAGTTTCTCTTATCCCCATCCAGCTTCTGGAAGAGTAGAGCCAGCATGTGGAGCGTCCACGTCCCTGTGTGATGTGATGGCATAAGAACATCTATTCACTCATTTCCTGCTGGTTTTTGAAGGCCAGGGGCCCAGCCTTGGGGCTGGAACCTCGGGTCCTCCTTGTCAAAGATCCTACTCCATGGGAACTAAGAGAACTAGGCAGTTCCTTCAAAGCCCTCTGGATCACTCAAATGATTGTCTTCCTCCCTCACAGAAGAACTCTCTCCAAGATTGGTAGGCATTCCCTTGGGTGGGTTCTGTCAGGGGCCGAGGGATCCCATCCCTCTTTGGGATCAATTCCATTTTGCTTCACAGTGACTGGTGGGAACACCTTTTTAATGAACTGTGATCACTCTGTATCTTCTACCAATCATCTGTTGTTTACGACCTAACCAATTTTTTCCACAATCAGCCTTCACAGAAGTTCATTCTGTCCCAGAGTCTTTGCCTTCCAGGTCCAGTATCCCAATCATTTTCCAGCCCATGTCATGTCCTTGGATTTGGGACACTTCCCAGGAACCTAGCCTTGCCACCTCCAACCAACCATAGGCACACTGGTTTCATAGTCAGCCTGTACTCTCAACCTTCAAGGGGCCAGCCCAAAATATGCCTTGGTCTGTAAATGTAACTAGCAAAACTGCTCTGCGGTGTGAAACTGTGCCTGGGGTGGCTGATACTTTTAGAGGCAGGACTGCTGCTCCCAGTGACTTTGTCCTTTAGAAAGCTCTCTGGTGAGACATTTGGCCCTAAGCATCAGAGCATGCACTGTAGGGCTTCTCTCTTCCATGCCTTAAAATCAATATGCCCAGTCATTGTCTCCTGGTTCATATCCCTGCTTCCCCAGCCACTACACAGTCAGAGTTCACTCTACAAGGAGCCCTCCACGCTCCTCTTCCAGATCGAACACCTTTAAAATGAAGAGGCGAGGACCTTTTATGAGGCTCCCTCCACCCTCAGCCCCCAGGCCAAGGCTAGCCCTTTGAGGACATGCTTTCCTGCCCGGTGACTTGGAACGGATGCCCTGAGCCCCCACCTGCCTTTTTAGGAGTCATCGTTTATACCCCTGCCCCAGTTTCCCAGCCTCAAGGGCCAAAACTATTAGCCCACTTGTTTCTCCCTTCTAGACCTGAACAAGTTGCTGTCACTCAGGGCCTGCAGGCCTGCCAACTTCTGCCCCCTCTCCCCTTCTTGACCTCCCTCAGTCTACCAGTGTGTGTGACCAGCCAACCAAGAGGCAGTATCCTGCTCTCTTGTCCTAGGGGCTGTTGTCTGTAACATTTCCAAAGTCTTTGACCTCTGCTGACCTTTTCCAAAGGGTCTGCCTTCTTGCCCGTCAGCTTTATCGGAGCGCTCAGCCCACCGGCTTTGCTGTAGCAACACGGAGGGAGGTTCTCTCTGTAAGACCCAAGGCAGGCCTAGGCACAAAGACCGGCTGCTCACGAGGTCTACAGGGATTTAGGTTCCTGGATCTGTGGTTAGGGGTAGAGGGAGCAGCCTTCTTTCTCTCTGAGCTAATGAAGGGGCTCAGCAACAGCATCAAGCTGAGGATGTAGACACCTTCCAGCCTGTAGGAGGCAGCATGGAGCAGTAGAAAAGGCACCACAGGCTTCAGAATCAGCTAATCTGGGTTGGGATCCTGGCTTCCAATAACCAACAGGCTATCCTAACTCCCCCAACCGTGGTTGTTTTATGTCCGATAACACCTCCTTCATAGGAGTATGTGGAGATGAATAATAGGTGTGACGTCTCTGGCAGGCTCGTGGTAGATGGCTATGTGTGTGACAAGTAGTTACTTTTTCTTTTCATCTTTATTGGGGTATATTCATTGTATATAGTAGTAGATTTCATGTATCATGTGCTTTGATCATAGCCCCCCATGCCTCTCTCTGTCTCTCTCTCTCTGTCCTGCTGTCCTACTAATTGCCTCATTCCTTCAGTTTCACTTCTGCTTTCATGACGTGTATGTAAATGATTTTATGTGTCTGTGTGAATTCTCAGATGCAAACTGAAAGACAAACATGTTTGCTATTTTCTGTAGCAGTTACTGTTATGACTTGGATACAGATCACACTGTGCGTTTGGGCAGCTGTAACTCCGTATCTCTTAACTCTATCTCTGCCTTCAACATCCTCACACTGCCTAGAGTGCTGTTGTATTTCCTCACTTCTCACCTGAATACTCAGACACCTCCCTCTCCTGGGAAGCCTTTCCTACTTGTCCACCTACTTCCTCCTATGAACTTGTTCTATGTTGTGCCAGAGCATACCACAGACTGCTCAAGAGAGGTGGCTGCAGCTGCCTTATCTTAGTACATCAAGGGTTGTTAAGCTGCATTAACACTTTCCTCTCAGGAATATGCTCCCGTGGGTAGCTCTGTCTGCCTAAAGCATACCTCTAATCAAGGTGGTTTGTTTGTTTTCTTACTTAGTTCCTTCAGAGAAGTAAGCCCTAAAGCCCTGAGGCATTCATTGTATGTAAGAAACTCACTTTTCTTGGAGGCATCTAAATGGTACAAGGTAAATGCTGCTCCTGGGAGAGGTGATAAAATCTTTTTTTTTGGTCAACCTGACACTTAGCTGCTCTTCCTGCCAGCCTCCAGCACCCATCCAGTGTTTCCAACTCTACTCCTGCAGTTCCTTCTGCCCTTTGTGCCCCCGAGGCCTTCTCAGGCTGATGGGCTTCTTTCACCAGTTCGCGGGCCATCTTCCCTGCCCCTGGAATTAAAGTACAGCATCACTTACTAAACTAAGGTAGAGTGCACACCACGAGTATATCCAGCCTTTCATCTCCACCTCTTTAGCTACACACTGTGCACTACTGAGTACATTGTTGGATGTGTTAACAGATCTCCAAAAGCCTGCATAGCTTCCCGAACCACCCATTCTTAGTGTCCTGCTGCCTCCCATCTGAGCCGCCTTTCTCTGTCTTCCCACTGCTTCTTCCTGTTTCTTCACTGGTGCTCCTGAAACTCAGAAACGCTTGGCCCTTCTGAAACCTAACCCATCCTCCCCCAGGCCTCCCTCAGCCTTTCCTTCCCATTCTCAAGGCTCCTCTTGGACCTCTTCTCTGACTGCCTGTTGAATTATCAGTGTTAACTTGCCAGCATCCACTGAGTCCTTAAATTCCCACAATCCGCCCGAGGCAAAGAGCCTTTCCAGTGCCGCCATCCTCCCTGTAGCAGCCTGTTGTTAGCCCATCATCAGGACCAAAACTCAGTGTCCGTTTCTTGTTCCACTTCACTGTCTGTCCATCTGTCTACACCAGCAGATGTTGATCATCAGCTTTCTTTGCCTGGGGCTGTCTGCCCTTTGTTGAAACTTCACACCCAGCAGTGCAGAGAAGGATCTGAAGTTCTGGTTCTGCCACCTACAAATTCCCCTTTGTGCAAACCCTTTTTCACTCTCTATAAGATAGAGCAGCTACCTAAGCTGATTTCAAGGACCTCTTCCAGGCCTGGTGTTCTAGGTAGCCTCTGGACAAGTCTCTTCCATCATTTATCAGGCATTTGCTGTAGTAAAGGTTTTTATTGCTGTGACAAAATACCTGGTATAAATATTAAAGGAGGGGATTCACTTTGCTCATGGTTTCAGAGGTTTTAGACTATCATGGTGGGGAAGGTATGACAAAGCATGTAGGAAGGACAGGAGAGAAGGGAGGGAGATTACTGTAGAATGAAATGTTTTTTACTCTTTTATTCTTTTTGATTTTAGGCCTTTTTGAGGGGTATGCCTCCCAGCACCCAAATAAATCACACATGGAGGCTTTTTCTGAGTTATGAACACCCAGTCTTAGCTTGGCTTGTTTCTACCCAGCTTTTCTTAAATTAACCCATCTACATTTTGCCTCTGGGCTTTTCCTGTTCTCTTTGTAAATCTTAGTCTGACTCCATGGATTGCTGTGTGGCTGGATGGCTGAGTGGCTGGCTCCTGACCTCCTCCTCTCCTTGCTGTCTTGCTCCTTCGTCCTCATTTCTCTATGTATCCTCTC